GTTCTGGAGGAGTTCTGGTCCACTACATTAGTCTTAGTTTGGACATTGGTTTCGGCTCAGCTCTCTGAAGGTCCCACCACAACAAGATTCCAGACAGGTTCTGGTCTGGATTTTAACTGGACCATTGCAGATCTGTGATTCTGTTATTTCCCAGTGGTTCTTTTGCAGATCTGCTGCTGTGTTTGCATCATGGTTCTGTTTTATAACTCAGTCTGGTCCAAACTTCAGCTGTCAGACTGATGGACTACAGACGAGTTCATGGTGGAGCATGAACTCATCAGCCCTCCACCACCGTGCTGACAGCTGCTATCAGCTGTTTGGTTTTCTCCAAACGTGTAGCTGTGCATTATGGGTAGCCATGTCTTCTTTAGTCCCACCTGTTCAAAGGACATTGTTGTTGAAGTATTTTGGTTCATTCAACAGAAACTTTACAAACTCAAGTCCTGCGCCTTGTGTTTTTACAGAGAACATGTTTTCTCCAGCAACTCTATTAGAACTGTTCATGCTTATACCAACTGTCCTGTCAGGAACTTTAGCCTTCTGAGATCTGTGGAGTCTGAGCATCGACCACTGGTCTTACAGTGAACCTGCTAGGATGCCCACACCAGCTGTCGGACATTTTTCACTTGTGAATGATCAGATGCTGTTACTTGATGTAGCCTGTATTAATTGACCTTTGCTCTAGGGCTGCCATGATTAGTCGACTCGTCACGACGGCAAACACAATAGTTGTGTTTACTTGATGAACATTTTTTTTTATCTGGCCTGCTGTGGCATGTTCGGCTTCCTGCCTCTCTGCTCAGCTGCCGCTTCAGCTTCGAGGCGCATGCGCAGTAGTGACCATCCAGATCAGCCTTGTTGTCCAGAAAAAGAAAACATGGCGAGTCGGCAACGTAGCTCAAAAGTTTAGGAGCATTATTTAAAGATAAAAGAATGGCACGTAGAGTGCAAACTCTGCAAAGGGAAACTCTCCTTTAACGGGAGCACATCAGCAATGCACGAGCACCTTAAAAGGAAGCACGTCATGGCGGAGAACAAAGGGTCGCCTTGGTAAGTTGACCTCTTGTTAGCTGCCAACATAGACGCGGTACCACCAGTAGCGGTGGCGATTTTATTACCTTCAGAACATGTTTGTATGTCACGTATTTTTGCTCCAATTACAAACGATAATGATTTATGATTTTATGGTGACGCTTTCTGGTGCCGCTGCATTTTGAACCAGCTGGAGTCTACTTAAAGATGACTAACCTAGGCCCAAGTAAGGAGAGTTGCAGTAGTCCAAACGACAGGAAACAAACAGATGGATGACATGCTCAAAAACTTCAGGAGGGAGATATTGTTTAACCTTTGCTAACAATCTTAGATGATAGAAACCTGTTTGGACTACTGAGCTCACCTGCCTCTTCAGCCCGAAAGACCCATCATGAAAAACTCCAAGATTTTTCACACAAGACTTTAACAAGGACGAGCAAGGTCCGACAGGACTAATCACATCATCCAGAAGATTCTTATTACCCAAAAGTAAAATCTCCGTCTTTGAGTTATTTCGCTTTAAGAAGTTGATGGACATGCATTGCTTAACCTCACACAAGCAGTCTAATAAGGAAACAATTTTGTCTGGGAAAAGAGGCAAGTAAATTTGAAAGTCATCAGCAAAACTGTGGAATGTGATATTGTATTTTTCAAAAAAAGAGCCTAGTGGCAACAAGTAAAGTGTGAAGAGTGTGGGTCAGAGGATGGAGCCTTGGGGAACTCCACTGGTCTGGGGTGCTGAAACAGAGGTGAAGGGGCCCAATTTCACTGAAAATGACCTGACCTGTAGGTAAGAACAAAACCACTGAAGGACAATATATTTGAGATCAACACCCAACTCCAGGCCAGACAGCTAAACGCTGTGGTCAATGGTGTCAAAGGCAGCTGACAAATCTAGTAATAATAAAGCGGCTGAATTTCCAGAATCACTAATTAAAAGCTGATTATTAAAAACAGGTAAAAGAGAACTCTCAGTGCTATGACACATTTTAAAACCAGATTGGAATTTCTCTGAAATGTCATTTAGAGCCAAATAATCCCGTAGCTGAGAACGAACAACTTTCTCAAGGACTTTGGAAAGAAAAGTAAGTTTAGAAATTGGCCTAAATTTGACAGACAGGTGGGATATAGATTGTGTTTATTTATGAGTGGATGGACAACAGCCTGTTTAAAACACTGTGGAACACAGCTGGAAGAAAGTGAACAGTTCATTGGCTTTTGGGTCGTGGAAGCAACACTACTGAAGGCTTGTTTGAGGAAAAGAGGCGGAAGACAATCCAGGGGGCAGTTAGAAGGTCTTAAGTGGCTGACAATTGCTGACAGTTCTTCCCAATGCACAGGACAGAACTGGCACCAGGACGTAGAACATGGAGGATAAAAACTGAAGTCTGAAATAAACAAGTGAGGAGATAGAGGACCTGGTCTACAGAATTTTACCAGAAAAATAAAATTAGGAATTTGTCACACAAACGCTGAGAAGGTACAACACCACCAACAATAACAGGATTAATTAAACTGTTTAAAACATTCCAAATGACATGAGGTCTGTGGCTGTTTGTTACCACAAACTGAGACATGATCTGGGATTTAGCTAATTTTACGGAATTATTAGAAGCCAACAAGCAGTCCTGGAGCATCTGCAGAGACACATGCAATCTGTCCTTTTTCCACTTTCTCTCAGCACGTCTGCATTCACGTCTGAGGTGCTGGTGGTGCCATTAAGCCATGGCGCAGGTTTTGATCTACAGCGCATAACTTTGAGAGGAGCCACAGAGTTTAAAATATCATTACAGGTTCTGTTAAAGCAGTCTGCCAGGTCATCAACACAATCAGATCCAGCGCCTATCTGTCCAGAGGTTGCAAAAGCGGCGGAAAAGTCCGACTCAGCTGCATCATTTAACATTCTTCTTCATGCTGGAGTGCACAGCTTCTCCACAGGACAAAACAGTTCAACAGTGAAAAGGACAGAAAAATGATCTGAGATCTGTTATTATCACTTACGTCCTGTCCGTGTGACAAAACTAAATCAAGTGTGTGGCTTGAGCAATCCTCCTCTATCTGCTTCCTCTTCAGCACATCCTGAGCTCCTTCAAAGGAATCTCCTACCATCTTTATGCAGATGACATCCAACTGTACATCTCCTATAAGCCCCATGAGATGTCTAAGCTGCAGCTGTTCCACACCTGCTTAGACTCTATCAAAACCTGGATGGCTGGGAGCTTTCTTCAGCTGAATGAAGATAAGACTGAGATCCTCATCTGTGCCCCAGACAAGCTGGTTCCCAAAGTCAGAGACTCTCTTGGTCAGCTTGCTTCCCACACCAAACCCTCTGTCAGGAATCTTGGTGTGACCTTTGACCCAGCTCTCACCCTGGATTCTCATGTCATTTCCTTGCCACCATGCCTCTACATTTTTTTCTATCATTTTTGTGAACGATTTACTTTTGGCTTTAGGTACCTACCTCCATCTGACTGTAGCATGTGTATTAACACATTACAAGATGTTTGATAAGCCATCATCTTGTCTTTATTATTAGATGGCACATAGTTGATAACACTTCACACTAGAAGCTAATGATGGTTTATTAGAGCATCCTGGTGAAATAAGCTAAACTTTTATGAATGACACGATTAGTCGACTATTAAAAGAGTCGTTTGTGGCAGACCTACTTCGCTCGTGCTGATATTTGCAGGAAACGTCCACTTTTAGGGTCCGGGTTTAATTCCTTGATTTTATGTTTTATGATCTTCTTTTATTTTTGTACATCGCTTTGGTCAGCTGCTTTTCTTGGTATATAGTGCTTTATAAACGTGCCTTGGTTTTTTTCATGCATCTTTTCCATTTTGCTTATTTAACTATGATATAGCTGAACCTTTTATGTGGTTTGTTCACTTGAGGTTTGATTTGAAACTAATGGTAATTCCAGCTTCAGTCCTGATGTATGAAACACAGACATATACGTAAAACACTTAAGTTAAAGTTTAAAAGTTAAAGTCCCACTAGCTGTCACACACACTGGTGTGTGTGACATTTGTTGTCCGCATTTGACCCATCCCCTGGAGAGCTGAGACCTGCAGACACAGCTGCGCTCGGGAACCATTTGGTGGTTTAATTCACCAATCCAGGCCCTTAATGCTGAGTGTCAAGCAGGGAGGCATGAACCCCGATCTCCCAGTCGCAGGGCAGACACTCATACCACTAGGCCACTGAGCTGCTTAACTGAAATGAATTAGAATTGAAAGAAAGAGACTGTAGCATTTGATCAGTCAGTGTTAACTAAAAATATGAGACTCAAGACATCAATTCTGACGATATGATTATCTGACACACACGTGCATCTGGTCAGACTTTCTCACAGGGAAAGGCAAAAGGTGGACCTACAAATTAACTAAGGCAACAAATAAATAAGCACTTTGGAACTAGTCGATAAATTGCTCATTCAGGATATCTGTGTGTTCATATACATTACCTTATGGTTAAGCTGTGTAGCTCCCTGTAAAGATGCTCCCGTGTATCTTGAACAGAACTCAAACAAACCCGGAAACACGGGACTGAAATGCAAAAAATAAAAAAATTCAGACTTATCAAGGGTGTGAGATTTTAAAGCATAACTAAACTGAGAAGACAGCTGAAAACACTTGAGCATGATTCAAACAATCATTTGAGTGTATCTGCACGATAAAAGTCAGCAGCACTTGCCAGTCATCTCCCACGTTGAATGCGTTGAGACTCTTCGTGAAACCCTGCATGTTGTTGGGGCTGACCTTTTGCAGGAAGTCGATGTATTCTTCAGAATGGAACCGACACATGTCGTGCTGAGAAGCTTTGTAGGGCTTGAAAACCTAATCAGGTACCAAAATCTTCAGTAAGGTATCATTTTATCACTTCTACGTGGTGAAGAGCACCATTAGACTCTGAATCACCATTTGCTGCTCACCATCATTTTCTTGTAGAGTCCATAGTGCAACACCAAGCTGTGAGTGAGCGACAGACGGTGAGGTTTCATGGGGTGACCGGCACCTAAAGGAGACATGGTTCAACTTTGTTTTTTGTTTTTTTTAAGCCGATCTAAACAATTTTGCATAATTTCAGAACAGAACAACGTGTAGTAAAACAGGCAAAACCTTAGGATGAAACTGTAACTGTGTTATGAGCTGAGATTGTTTCTGATGAGGATCTGGTGAACAGTTCGAGGTTCTACGTAAGATGAATTATTCTCTTCTGCCAGATGTGTTGTATTTGTTTTTCAATTTGTCAGAACTTATAAATGCTGTTTTGTATGTATATAAGTATATACACGCACACACACACACACACACACATATATATATATATATATGTATATGTGTGTGTATATATATATATATATTTATATACACACACATATACATATATATATATACACATATGTGTGTGTATATTAGGACTGGGCAATAAATAAAAAATTTATCGAAATTTCTCTTATTGTGATCATTTTTCCCATGTCAATACATTTGAAAATCAAAAATTAAAAGATGTGTGTAGGTTGGCAACGTTAGTGTCCCTTTCACCCTCTCATGCTCAAAGTAAGTTTTGATAAAAGGACGAACTACTAAGTCCTTCATGGGTACTTCTGATTTTAAAAATGCTCATAAAATATGTATGTGGAGTAACCAGGTAGGTAGGTTTTAACGTTGCAAATCTGCAACGCCTGCCTCCAGAGGGTTAGGAAGCTGTACCACCTTGAGTCACGCAGAAATGTGACACAACGTAACATGTGACAGCCCCATCTAGTGGACAACTTTTGTTTCTGCGCCTACCTGTAGCTATCATCCATTTATTGTTATCAATCCTCAATATATCGTGATATTAATTTCAGGCCATATCGCCCAGCCCTTTCATATATATATATATATATATATATATATATATATATATATATATATATATATATATATATATATATATATATATATATATATGTATATATAATGTTGCCAACCTGAACCTACACACATCCTTAAATTTTTTTATTATCAAATTTCCTGACATGGGAAAAATGATCACAATAAGAGTCCGACATTTCTATAACGATACATTTTTTATTTATTGCCCAGCCCTAATGGTAAAAATGGCGGGCATTTATAAAGCATTTTCTAGAGTTCTACAACCCCTCAAGAAACTTTACAACTAAACAGTTATTCACTCACATTCTTACACACACACACACACACACACACACATACGTTTATGAAAATAGGACAAAATTTCGTCCTCCACTGCGCTCACCTGTTATATATAACTCCAGACCAGTTCCCAATAGGGATGGGTGATAGTCTCAAAATTAGTTCACAGTACTCATGCAGAAACAATAGTTGTTGTGATTATAAACATACATGTCTTCTCTGTGAACTACTGTGCACAATAACTGTGTCAATTTATAAGGTATAATGGAATCTAAAACCGGCTGCACAGTGGTTAGAGCTGTTGCCTTGTAGCGAGAAGGGTTCGCTTCCCGGCCTGGGATCTTTCTGCATGGAGTTTGCGTGTTCTCCCTGTGCATGCGTGGGTTCTCTCCGGGTTCTCCGGCTTCCTCCCACAGTCCAAAAACATGACTGTTAAGTTGATTGGTCTGTCTAAATTGCCCCTAGGTGTGTGTGTGTGTGTGTGTGTGTGTGTGTGTGTGTGTGTGTGTGTGTGATTGTTTGTCCTGTATGTCTCTGTGTTGCCCTGCGATGGACTGGCTCTCTGTCCAGGGTGTACCCCGGCTGATTGCCCGTTGACCCCAAACCCCCCCCCCACGTGACCCTGCGTGGACAAAGCGGGTTCAGAAAATGGATGGATGGAATCTAAAACCTACAAGATGCTGACCCTGCAGAAGATCACTAAGATCACTAATGCAAACATTACTTCTGGCAGTTATTTCTCCATAAAACTTTAAACCAAGTATAACCACGGCTGAACAATTAAACTGCACTTCTGAACTAGAACTTTAGATACAAATATAAACAATGATCAGTAATAACAAAAAATAAATACATTTTCTCTTGGAATAAACCTCAACATGCAAAAGCATCATTCACTTCCATGCGGTGCTCTTCCTACCTGGTATAAGCTTGACTTTAGACCCTTACTTTCTGAACCGTTGACCCTTGAATAGATCTAAAGTGAAGATGATGACTAATGGCGCTTTAACTTTATAATTTAGTTAATAATCTAACCTGAATCAAAACTGCACTACTGATCCCAACTAACGGTAAAGAAGACTCACGAAAAGGCATTATCCAAGTGCTGACCTGTTACTTAGTTTTATTTTTGAACTACGTAATTAAAATAGTTCAGGAATATTTGTTCTGGTGTAAGAAACAATAGCACCTTCCGGTTGAGCCTAAACATATTAATCTGACAGGAATACAGGAAAATTAACGTCAATTTTAAAGTATGAAAGCTGCAGAGAATATTATTTTTAAAAGCACCATTATATTTGCAAAAGCACCCATAAATTGCATCACAGGAAAGTATAAAATATTTTTAAAAAAGCATTTTTTTTGTGTGAACTATTAGCATGTAACTGGCTAACTAGCTAACGCCTCTACGGATTGATTTACTATGAGGATCAATCTCACCATAATGAAAGTTTCCCACGTCCGGGTCATAAAAATAAGATGTCCGGTTGGTCATTATGAAAGCAGGATGATATGGATTTATGTGAAATCCAACTCTTATTTCAGAAGCTTAGCTTGCTGCATTTTCTTTCATTAGCGGCTAGGCGGTATACGTCATCACTAGGGGACGGCGATGTCGGTAATACGTAAGGAGTAACAGCGTCGCTGCCATATTGGATGGGTTCCACACACTCCAAACCTAACTGCAGTCAACCACCCACAACATGCTCACTATTGAAAACAGATCACGTGCGATTACTATTGACTTTTCTAGCCTACCTAATGGGATTTTATATTTTAATTTAATTAATTTATTTTGTTTAATTATATTTATTTTTTAAATATCATGCAATACCATGTGTCTGATTTTGTGAAAAAGCTTGATAAAATGTGTTTTTGTAGTTGGGTAAGCACCTTCCTCAGTAATGCACTGGGGGTGAATAGAGACCCATTTAGATGGTGGCCGGCCACAACGGTAGCTCCCAGAGGCAGTGTCAGTTCATGGGGCATTTACGATGATGTCAGCAAGATGCTTTTCTAAAACTTTATTTGCAAATACAAATTAACAAATACAAACTCTTGCTGGGAGAACACTGATACATCAAAATAACAGGCCATAACCAACAACGAACAAACAAGGCTTAAACAAAACAAATATAACATATACATGTCTTAAAATAGTTATAATTATTGTCCAGGTCTCAGCATTCGTGTTTGTTTCAGCAATGTCAGTAGGAAGAAAAAAATAAAACTATAAAAATCACGAGGCGCTTCACAGGAACAAAATATGCAAAAATAATTACTAAATTATTTCATAATAAAATTTCAGAAATAAGGAATCATTAAAAGTGCGAAGGAAGAATAAAAAAAAATAATAAGGAAAGTTAATTGCGGTTTTCCAAGATAGACAAAATTGGTAGAAACAGCAGCATGAATAGAAGGTAGTGAGGAAGAATCAGCGGGAGGTCACGCAAAAGCCAGCTTGAACAGGTGAGTCTTCAGCTGCTTTTTATAGGAGACCACGGAGTCCAGTGATCTCAGTCTCGGGGGAGAGAGTTCCAGAGTCTGGGGGACATAGCAGTAAATGATCTGTCACCTTTGGTCTTTAGCCTGGTGCGCTACACAACCAGTAGACTTTGGTCACTGGACCTCAGGGACCTGCTGGGGGTGTAGGGACTGAGAAGATCACCAATGTATGATGGTGCAATTTATGATTATGGCCCTATAACCCATTGCCCTGGGTTGTAGGGCCACCACCACCACCCAGCTCCACCGTGGTCAGAGTCTGGCCCCGCAGATCTCCAACTGCTGCGGAGGAGCAGAGCGTGGACTTGCGGGGCCCGGGCACCTGGCTCCAAATTGCTGCAGTCTGAGGCTGTGCTTTGTCCTATGGAACTCTCTGAGGGAAACCACAGAAACTCTACAACCCAGTGGGTTGACGTGTGCTTCACGTAAGAGTTGCTTAACTGCATTTTTTCTGGATAAAACTGCTCACAAACCTCTGTTACCTTAATTTAGCTTGTAGCTGGGAGCAATAGAAAACTGAGATCCTCAAAATTCTGCTCTCAGTTACACCTCTTTGTCCATATTTGTATTGTCCGGGAGAGTGAAGCCATGTGATACAGCCAAGATGGTGGTGATCGGAATCACCCACTAGGCTTTAAGTCAACACTTCAGTAAGCTACACTGAACAAAAACTATAAAAGCAATACTTTTGTTTTTCTCCCATTTTTCATGAGCTGAACTCAAACATCTGAAACTTTTTCTACATACACAAAAACCCATGACTCAAATATTTTTCTGAAATCTGTCTACATGTGTTAGTGAACACTTTTTCTTTACCAAAATAATCCATCCCACCTCACAGGTGTGGCATATCAAGGGGCTGATTAGACAGCATAAATAATGTACAGGTGTGCCTTAGTCTACCAACAATAAAAGGCCACCCTGAAATGTGAGGTTTGATTAAAAAGCACAATGCCACAGACGTCGCAACCTTTGAGGGGCATGCAATTGGCATGCTGACGGCAGGAATGTCTACCAGAGATGTTGCCCGTGAAACAAAAGTTCATTTCTCTGCCATAAGCCATCTCCAAAGGCGTTTCAGAGAATTTGACATTATATCCAACCAGCCTCACAACTGCAGACCACACATCCAGTGTAGAGCTTTCCTGTGAAAGGATCATGATTATATGTGTGTTACGAATGTAGTGCCTTTCATAGCATTTTTGTATACTAAGCTGTAATTTATCACGAGTAATTACTTATCATTCATTTGAGTTTGGATTAATTACGTACAGGGAATGTGTTATAAGTTTGTCCATGATGTAGATCAGGGCTATTCAAGTTCGGCCCTCAAGGGCCGGTATCCAGCACGTTTTGGTGATTAAGTGGTTGAGTCACATTTGCAGCAGCACATCGACCTCTGCAAAAGCCTGTTAATCACCTGCTGATTGAAATCAGGTGTGTTGAAGCAGGGTTAAAACTAAAATGTGCTGGACACCGGCCCTTGAGGCCCAGAATTAAATGGCCCTGATGTAGATATTGACTGCTTTTATTGGCTTGCCTAACTTTAGTGCGTATGCGCAGAGCCTAAGTTTCGTTTAGTCACCTGATGGTCAGGGATGAGATGCAGCACTGGTGAGTACAATAATTAGTTGTAATGTTAGTTGGTCATTTCTTTTGTTAATACGAGTGCACGTGTGTATGTATGTTTCATTACAGATTTACAACCTGATCAATAGTCACTACCAATATTTGCAATTAACTCACAAGTTAATTTGAGACGTGAATTGAGGACGCAACTGTTGTGCTAAAAAGGGTTGCGAGACCTTTAGCCGCTAAGGCTGCGCAAATGTTGTGTGTTGTCCTGTCGAACGTCAAGAAAGGAGTGAACATGATTGAGTTGTGTCCGCTATACTCTCCCTAACACCCCTTTCAGTTGGTGACATCTCTCGCTATAGCAATTAGCTGAGAAGACAACTGAACAGTTGTAAACTACCTTTAGAACCGTGTTAATTAGTGTACGGGCCCAAGCGGATAAAAAAAAGCACATGGACGGTCACGCAACGGGGAGAAACAGTAATTATAGTGTCGAACCTGTCGGCATGCTACAAAATGGTGGACAACGAATCCGACATGGAGGATGTGAGAAGAAGACGCCCGAATGCGCAACACATCTTTATGACGTGCATAAATCGAGGTAAGTGCTAACCATCTGAAGTTGAGTTGACAAACAAGTTAGCAAAGCTAAAGGATGAATACAACGGGCTTCTGGATGCCAACAGTGAATATGTTGAAGCGCAGAGTCTGAAGACATTACAAACAGTAACAAAGAACAGCGAGATTACCTGGCTATGAGAGATGCCAGTGAGCTAAAATTTTCGGAAATGAGAGAAAATTTATGGAATTATTATGGTCAAAATATGCGGCTCAAGACATTGACGCTCTCAGAGCACAGATTAAATCAGCTCTTGAGTGTTCTGCTGTTCTTGGAGACAGTAAAGTAGTTCCATGAGTACAGCAAGGAGTTGAGAGTAATAAGCTGGATAGAAAACTCCAAGAGTTAAGAGAGGGTGTGTGCGCTTGGAGAGATTATCGTCCACGTGGAAAAGAAAAATGGTCATTATTCCTAGCATTAAAAGAAAAGGAGCAGCTCGTGGATGAGTGGGCGAGCAGACGTGATAATGAGATCATACAGAAGGGTGGGAATTGGTTGGGGAAAGGAGAAAATGAAAGTGACGGCGGCAACAATGCAGTAGATGTGACAATGCAACCGCGTTCGAGAATCAACTGCACAACTGTGCTAGTAAGGCAAGGTGGAGAAACGAGGGCCCGGGTGGGATTCGATCCCGAGACTCCCGGGTGAGAGTCACGTGCGCTTACCAGTCAGCCAAAGGGACATCACCTAGGCCAAGTAGCCAGGGCGCATGATCAATCGGGACACTGTGACAGGGCACTCACACTGCCACATCTTACCCTCTCCTTCCACAAGCACGTCCTCGTGCTCCCGTGCAGGGTGCCACAAACTTCACATCCATGGACCTACTTGACAGTACTACATGGATCCTGGCAACAATGCCAAATATCAAGTTGGGCCCCCTGGGGGCTCGACCATAGCTGGAGCTGGGGTTCCACCCTCCCAGATTCGAAGGGAGAAAAAAATATAATATATATACTTTATATTAGTGTTTCAGTTTTGCTTAATTATGTAGGTCTACATGCATTCTTACTTATTTACATATCATTTTCATCAGCTGTCTCTCATTAAACAGTGAATTTCCTTCTAAAGAATTAGCAATATCACTGCTGGAAAAAGCAGGAAATGCACATGCTGAAAGGTGTTAATCTCCTTTTCCCTATTACTCCCTTAAAGTGTGTTTATTTATTCTAAAATTTTATTTGATGATAACATTCAAATTTGGATTTCTAATTAAATTTCCATGTTGTGTCAAAGCTTTATATAACTACATTTTCAGCTGTCTTTCCTCTTGAAATCAAGTATTTTTGTAAGACTGACAAAAATTAAGGATTCACTGCTCACAAGAAGACTTCTTTATTAAGTCTCCATGGCTTCATCATAGACACAAAATGAATAAGCACACAGTTAAAACCGGAGTCAGTTAGGGTTAGGGCTGTGCAGAGACCTTTGAAGGGGCGGGTGCTCATATTTAAAAAGGGGCACACAGAATAATATTTTCAAACACCATGACATAACCACAGTATACCTGGCTGAATAACAAATCATATTTATTAGAAATTCAAAATGGAAGCGAATCATTATATACACCATAAGGACAATGTAAAGCAAAAGTAACTAGTTTTGGTAAATTGTCTGTATTTGTATAATGCCTTCTTAGGGTTCTACAACCCCCCAAGGCACATTACAACACAGTCATTCACACACACATTAACACACTGATGGTGATGAGCTATGATGTAGCCATAGCTGCTCTGGAGCGCACTGACAGAGGTGAAGCTGCTGAGCACAGGCGCCACCAGTCCCTCCGACCACCACCAGCAGGCAAAGCAGGTTAAGTGTCTTGCCCAAGGACACAACAGCATCAATCTCTGATTAAAGTCAGGATCAAACCTGCAACCTTCCGATTACTGGACAACCTGCTCCACCTCCTGATCTATTG